ATCAAAGTGCATTATTCCTACTATGGAAATATCCGTATCAGGCCGATGTATATACTGAAAGCTGCCTGCAACAAATGTCCTATAAAGACGTTATCCAGTATATCAATAATGAAATTGAATACATAAGTAGAATGGGTGTTATTCGATTATTGGTTCTCGACGATGAGAACCAAAAGGTTGATGTGCCATCAAAAATAATCGCTTTAAAAAGGTTATCACTAGCAACACACGATCACACGTCCGGGGAGGGTTGCCGCCGTACATACAGTCTTCAAGTAGTTTTTGTCGAATTTCCCGTTCGTAAATGCGCGGCCGCAATGTTTTATAATATTCGTCATAGTCTATAACGTTGTCAGTTAGTTTTTTAGTCGCGGATTGGTCGCTCTTACGCTTTCCTGGCAGGATACTCTCGGTGATAACAAACCGTTTGACGATATTATAAGCTGTCTACTTTGAAACACCATTTCAATCTCCGATCTCAGCAAATGATAGTCCACGAAAATACAAATCGACAACTCTTGTTCTCACTTCAACTGGTTTGTTGACTCCTTGCTACTCCATCATGGTGCTTGTCGATTTGTAGACACAAAATCAACACGATGACCGACCAAAAGTGAATGAAAGACAGACGCGCCTCAAAGTCTAGGTGTACCTAACTTTGTAGCAAAAATACAAAACATTGTCGGCAATATCTGTCAATCATTCCTCTGATTTGCAGCCGATGTTTATATTTCTAGTTACAACTTATGTAAATTTGAAAACAAAGTGTGTAACTTATTGTAGTAAGTTATCAACATCTACCACTACTTCATCGTCAAATCAGTGCCTGGAATTGCTGTAAAATTGTCGAAAAATACTTTCTCAGTAATAACTTAAGTGTTTTGCACATTATCCACACAAAATACAGGATATTTAATTGCGTTGTGTTTCTCAATAATATCCAGAAAGAATTCAACAATTCACTGAAGTTCAGCTTGTGCGAGAACAGTACTACGTTTCTGGATAAAATCACTTTCCCTATTTTCAGATGTTCGTGAGACCAGGATCATCCTGTGTTCGTAAAGGTTTGTTGCTATGGCAACAACCATTGCTGAAGAGTTTATCCAGATGTAAAGCATCAGCGGCTGCTGCATCCATCAAGCCTTTTCATTACCAGGATTTGTTTGCTCCAGAGAGGCCGCTTGACATTCAATTCACCAAACTCACTGGTAAACAATTTTGAATAAAATATACTGTAAAATGACTAATTTCCTCTGGGTTTTAATTTCACTGATTTACCATTTCAGGCATATTCAGTGGGTTTTAAATTCACAGTTTTATCATTTAGATAATGTGATCCTTGCTAAATTTTACATATTCACTGGGTTTTAATTTAGCGCATTTTCCAGTCAGCAAAATAAGCAAAATTAAAACCCGATGAATAATTAACCCTTTTACAGTAGTTCTTAGAGATGACAGGCAAGCGACATTGCCTGATAAGACCAGCACACTACATCCAGATTCAACTGGATTCAGAGATTTCATTTTTATTGTACAGTCCTATATAGTTGTTCTGTTTGCTATTTGGCAGTTATTCAGTATATTACATAGCACCCTTTGTTATGTTTTACCATGAATCCTAGCGGGAAACAAAAACAATTTTTTCATATGACTGGCAATTACCCAGTCTGCACATACCGTAAAATCTGTATTAAAAGCCGCATCCCTAATAGAAGCCACACCCATTCTTTTTGAACAATTGAGACCCAAAAATTCACAATTTCTCATATGTGTAGATGCTCTAATTGAAGCCGCATCCCCTCTGATGTATTGTACCATTTTAATAGAAGTTTCGGCTTCTTATACATATTTTACAGTACAAGTACTGTAAAAGGGTTAATTATTTACTGGGTTTTAATTTTGCTTATTTCGCTGACTGGAAAATGCGCTAAATTAAAACCCAGTGAATATGTAAATTTGAGCATAGAACACATTATCTAAATGGTAAAACCGTGAACCCACTGAATATGCCTGAAATGGTAAATCAGCGAAATTTAAACCCAGTGAAAATTAGTCATTTTACAGTAATATGGATTAGGATATGTAGGACCAGACAGATTTCATTAATTTCAGATGTTTTATTTATCAGCAAATTTCAAAATTATTAAATTTGTTATTTCTCTAAGGCGATTATGTGTCTACAATTGAAGTTGGTGGCAGAAAGATACTTAAAATTGAACCTGAGGCTTTGACATTACTATCAGCACAAGCCATGACTAATATAGCTCATCTCCTGAGACCATCACATCTCAAGGTATAGATCACAATCAATACTATATCATTCTGAATAAAATCTGATATATTGTATGGCATGAAATTAATTTAATTTACTTTTTTCTATATATTTTTATTATTTTGTACTTGTTTTCATTATTATTACATACCGGGCACATCTTATTTTGTATTACTTTTAACTACTTGTGGGCTTTGGCGACTACCAAAACTTCTTCAAAAAAATGCTGTTCATAGGTCTATTTTATGATGGCAATATTCACAGATTTATTTATCATTCTTTATTTTTCAGCAATTACGCCATATTCTAGATGACCCGGAATCTTCTTCTAATGATAGATTTGTAGCATTAGAATTACTAAAAAATGCTAACATAGCAGCTGGTATGGTGTTACCAGGATGTCAGGATACTGGTACAGCTATAATTATCGGTAAGCTCATGTCTTCAAAACAGTCAAACCTGTGTTAGTGAACACCTCTATATAAAGACCACCTGCCTATAGTGACCACTTTCAGGCAGTCCCAAGGTATACGCCACTTGTCTTATGTCACTAATTTTTTCCTCAATTTTGTTGTTTGGAGACTGAAATCATAATTAGCATTTTGTTTATAAAACTGTTTTTAATTGCTTCAAGTCAAACTTATTTGATTTTGATGAACTCAAATTATTGTGTGTTGTTGCAACAGTACCATCTCATTATTTTCTGGGCAAATAATAATTTCAAATGTACGAGTTAGCAGTCCATAAAAAAAGGTAATCTGTACTGCATATAAAGAACACCTGTGTATAAAGACAATGTTTATGAAGTCCCTTCGTTGGTATTATATACAAGTTTGACTGTATTTATTTGGATTGTTTTCTTGCAGTCTTTTGCATCTTTCAGCAATTTTTTGTTTATCTTTTTAGCTCCGCTGTCGACTTTGTCGAGCGGAGCTTATCATATGAGTGATTGTCCGTAGTTGTCCGTGTCAATGTTTTACTTTTTCGACTTCTTCTTGAAAACTACAAGCC